AGATAACTCCGTCTCAGGCAAGGCTGTGTTGAATCTGATATCAATAGACTAGGCACTTTTCTGTCCACAAGAAGTGGTGCTGAGCAGGGATAGCAAACTTGTATTCAGAGTACGTATTGATTGCAGTAAGGACATGTAGCTACTCTCTCTAGGGTTGTATTTGGAATGTTCTCTAGACGCTAAAATGGGTTAACCCCATAAAATTATACCAATCACATGAAGCTGCCACTTGATCTCAATGTAGAATTCTGGCTGTTCTGAATCTCAGCTAACTAGAGGCGAAAGAAAACCTCAGTAACAATAAGGCCCACATGCCGGGATTCATTACTATTCTACTTATCACCTTAATGGGTGTTGTTTTCCTGTCAGTGAATAAGCCAACACCAGGTCCATTGTGAGATCTACTTTCCCAGGGTCACTGCTGATACTCTCTTGGCATGGATTTCCTAGAGAACAAGGTCTGGAGTAAATACAGTCTAACATTTTAGAGAAGAGCTTAATCCCTAAAGAACGCAAGTGAGGAAAAATGGGAAATGAAGGAAGGGAAGGAGGGAGGGCACATACTGTATGTGTTACCAAGAAGACCACCACTCATAGAGAACACAGCTGATGACCTGGCCTCATGGGATGTTTTCGGGGAAGCCAGATGTGCTGTTACTGCCCCTTTGGAAGACTCACTAGTTCAGCACCTGGCAGGGTTGAGGTGCTACATCTCCTAGACTTCCGTATTATAAGACCTCTTCTCTCCAAAAAGCTGCTGGGGAACCAGAAGTCCTGCTGGTCTCTCCTTCTCAATCAGCCCTGTGGGACCACTTGATCTGTGTGTGTGTGGATTGAGAAGAGGACAGCTTCAGCGACTTGGTTATACCACCATGGGAATTGGGCTGAGGTGGCTTGGTGGAAAAGAAGGGCACAAACAGTGGGAATTAAGTACAACCCTAATGTTTTGGGGGAAATGCATAAACTGAGTGTCTCAGTTTGTTGGTGCAGCAACATCAGAATACCACAGACTGGGTAATATATAAGAACAGAAATGTATTGACTCATGGTTATGGAGGTTGGAAAGACCAAGATCAAGGTGTTAGACTCTGGTAAGGACCTTATTGCATCGTATCATGGTAAAAAGCAAAACGAAAAGAGGACAAGAGAGAGAAAGGGGGCAGAACTCTTCTTTTGTTAACAAACCCACTCCCCTCATAATGGTGTTAATCTATTCATGAAGGTGGAGCCCTCATGGCCTTATCACCTACTATTAGGTCCTATCTCCCAACATGGTAGCAATGGTGATTAAATTGTAACACACACTGTTTTGGGAATACATTCAAACAATAATACTCACTGAACCTTACAATGGTGTATTCAGGAAACAGTGATTTGACCCAGACTTATACACTGGGCTCTTCTCTGCCTAGAAAATTCTGTAAGAGTAATCAAGAATACATTTCTGGGACCAGCAGTTAGCGTAATGGCTATGTCGCTGGACTCCCATGTAGTCGACCGTGATTCCAGTCCCGTACCCGATAGCTTAAAACTCACGCCGGGCACGTGTACGTGCATGCCCAAGATTCCGAGAGGAGAATGGAGGGGAAGGGAGTGTGGCATGGCCATCTCCCCTGGGGGGTGATTTCTTGCTTTCTGTCTCTCTGTCTGTCTGGCAAGTGCATGTGCCCTATAGCTAAAACCTCTCAAAAAAAAAAGAATACATTTCTGGCATGAATTCTCCTAAAACATTTATAATTCTTGCCTCCCCTAGGGTATCTAGAAAAGTGCCTGCCACCTAAAAGGTGTTGGGGACTTTAACTTTAGAAGTCCTATAGTCCTTGTGATGCTGTCTCCAGGGCCTTAGGGGCCCAGTGGACAAATTACTGCACTAAACTATGCATGTGTCTCTTGCAAAGTATGCATATCAGAAATTTAAAAAGGAAAGAGAAAAGCCCACCCTTCCTGAGATTTAATTTAATTACCCGGCTCATTTCTATAACTTAAATCTTATAACCTAATGGAAATGATTTTTACTCTCTTGAAAAACTGTACCTTTTTTTTTTCTCTTGAACAAATAATTTAAACCATGTTTTAAGTTAAGACAGGATGTTTGAATTCCTATGTGTTTTTTAATTCAAAGTGGCTTAAAGCAAGCAGAAAGACTCTTTAGCTCAGGTTCTATGTTTAATTTTTCATTTTATGTTTAATTTGTGGGAAAGGGAGTCTAGGTGGTAAGAGAAAATCCAAAGGAAAATAGGTATCTATTACTTGTTTAGAAATGGGTACAATTTCTTTTGCTTTTTTAAAAGAAAAAACAAAAAACAGGGAATCCTCTATTACAATCAATTAAGGTAATAGCATTAATTACCAGCACTGATAAATTAGTTTTCTCAGTCAGTATTTTGGTGCTTGATTTATCATTTTGTAAAATTCACCCCACATCCCATATAGTAATATGAAAAGTAATATCTATATCTATATCTATCCATATCTATCTATCTATGTATATCAGAATGGTTTAGACTGTGCCAATCATCTACAAGAATTAATATTAGGTAAAAGTTTTCTCTAATATAGGATATGTATGGATATGTAAGGGTCTGTTCTAGTTTATTCAACTAGAATACCAGTGCAGGAACCAATACCTCAATTAGGTTGACTTCTTTCAGCTATTATTCCTTAACAACAGCTGGAAGTTTTGTTTAGTTTTCTAAGTTTTATTTGACAAAGATGAACTATATGAAAATGGCAACCATTTAGAATTTGCTAACATATGTATTACACGTGATTCATATATGTGTGTGTATATATGTATATGTATATATATATGTGTATATATATATATATGCTTTATAATACTCTTTCAAACATTTGCACAGCACTTAGCTTAGGTATATGGTAATACTGTATCAAGCATTTGCACAGCACTTAGCTTAGGTATATGGAAATTGTGAAATAAATGTTTATCATTATTATTATTAAAATGGCCCAACCTGAAAGGTACTACAAACCCTGGGAATTAACCACTCCAGGATGTCTTCAGCTTCATCGTCTTGTCCTGGACACACAAGTCACATTACCAAGCCCAGCGACTAAGGTGCTTTATTGATCGACAGAATAGATGAGAGTGAAAGTGAAACGAGGAAGAATTGGCAAGACTTTAAATACTTACAAAAACTCCTAACTGCGTGTTTTGGCAGCTAGAATTCTATCATGAGCTCTTTAGATTTTAGGGTCACTTGGATTTTGTTCTGTGAGTAAATACTCTAAAAAAATAAAGCAACACCAATTCTGTACTGCATTGCCTGTTTTCTGATTTGAATTGTGACTTCAGCATGGTAGAATAGTCTCAAGGGGCAGAATGTGTCTTAGTGCCTGTCCTACCCCTGTGTGGCGGGGTTGCTGTGCTTCTCTGAGCCTACAGAAAGTCCACTGATTTCTTTTTTTTTTCTTTTGGAGAATTTTTTTAATTTTTTAATTTTTTAATTTTTTTGCTATAGGGCGTGTATGCTCGCCAGAAAGAGAGAGAGAGACAGGGAGACAGAAAGTAAGAAATTACCCCTCGGGGGATGGCCATGTGCAATCCCTTCTCCTCCATTCTCCTTTAGGGATCTTGAGCATGCATGCACACGCGCCCGGTGTGAGTTTAAGCCACCGGGTCTGGGACTCAGACTGGGGTTGACTACATGGGAGTCCAGCCACGTAGCCATTACGCTAACTTCTGGTCCCAAGAGTCCACTGATTTCTTTTCTCTTTTCTTTCCTTTTCTTTTCTTTTCTTTTCTTTTCTTTTCTTTTCTTTTCTTTTCTTTTTTAATAGTAAAACCCACTTCCCAGTTCTTTATATGGCACCAAAGCCATACTTGCTCTGCATCTCTTCTGACTTAATATTTGTTACTGAGTTCCTGTATTGGTACCTATCAGTTAGCTCCATCAGGACAGAAGTCTGATTTGCAAGCACTCTACAATGGAAGGAAGGATTTTGCATTCCAGTTCCCCCAGATCTCTGGTTGGGTGTTGGGGTGGGCTCTACACGCTATGCCTTAAAATATTTCAGACTCTTTTGTCCATTATTTATTCTCAACTACAAGATCTGACAGTGCCAATTGCTTTGGGAATTAAAAATCAAAAACATCATCTTTTCTGACCATAGGCTGGACAACTCCTGTGCTAGTCTCAGTATTTATAGACTTGTGTCCCCCACTCCATAGGGAAGTGGGGGAAACTCATTCTCAATGTCCCACTCCAAGTCTGCCAGGATTGTGACCAAAGTGAACTCTTTAAGAGCACCTCACAGCAAGTCTCGCGGAAATGGGATGGAAACAGGATGGAGACCTTGGAGGGAAGGACCATCGGGCATGCCTGAGAATATCTTTGTTTGCGTCACTGGTCTACAGACCCGCCCTGGCGACATCATTGTTCAGAACAGGGCAATTTGAATACACAGCATTTCTCCATCTTTCATTTTCAAAAAGGATTTATTTTTATGCCCAAAATATCCTTCAATTTACTTATCCTAAGGAGCCCTGCTTCTTTGGCAGTTTTCCTCTGGCCGCATTAGTTGGAAATCTCTCTAAGCACCTCTCCTTGGCTCCCAATCCTTGTCTGACTGACAGATCTAAGAGATGACCTCCTCCGGGAATAAGCAGAGGAATTTCTCAGGAATTAACAAAAAGTCTTTTAGAAAACAAAGCCTTCTTCCAACCTCTGATAATTTCCCTCTGAGTGCTAAGCAAAGAAAAATAACTCACAGACATCTCCCTCCTTGAATTTTTCCTTTGAGGATTCCCCCCCCCCCAACTGTTTCTGTCCATTAGGAGGCTGTTTGGGTGGCTGTTTGGGTAACTTAGAGAAGTCACCACTTCCCCAACCGGTCCTGCCTTTAACGCGCAGGGTGGATGGAAGTCTGTAGAAACGTGAGCCCAGTGTGAAAGGATTGCACATTGCAGTGTGAATAATGACAGTGTTTTTAATCAAGAAGAGCATTGCTGTGTAGGAGCCAAAAGATCCTTTCTGCGGCTGTTGGGATCCATTTCCTCCAGGATGCATCCTGCTTGTTCGTCATCAGGTGAGTGTCTCTCGGGCTGCCTGCCAGTTCTTGGACTGCTGAAACACTTGCCTGGACTCCGGCCGCTCGCCTCACAGTGCTCTCTGATCACAGTCTCCCAGAGTGACTCACACAGAAAACTGTTACCTCATTTTGTTGAATTCCATTGTGTGGGCTGAAGGTGGGAGAGAGGGAAGTGAGGACCAGAGATGAGGCGACTAATTGACAATCTCAATTACAAAATGACACCTGAGAACATCAAAGTTCTTAAAAAGGAAGGTAAGGTGCGGGCTTTGCCCTCTACTGGATTTCTTTTGCTACAAGAGACTTGTGAGTCACACGCTGAGCTGGGGGCAGGCGCAGGGAGTTCAAAGGGGTCGGTGCAATGATAGGAAGCTGTCTGGGTGAACCGCCTCCAGGAAGGTCTCACAGGGCAGGGCAGAGATTGACTTCCCTTTCAACCAAGTGGAAGGCACGCTGGAGAGGAGCCCTCCGTTGAGTAGCTACCCCAGTGCTGGGGTAACCCAGGTGTGAGCCTGGGCCTGGGTTCTACCAACCCATTACAAGATAGCGCAAGCCCTTATTTCAGGTCTTGTATTCTCTAGGTTTCAGGTTGTTTTTTTTTTTTGTTTTTTTTTTAAGAGTCTTACCTGTCTTAATTCCCTGTCTCAGCCTCCCCATTGGGACCACACCTGCATGCCACCATGCTTGGCTTTTGTTTTCTCTTCTTTTTTTCTTTATTAGACAGGACCTTACTATGTTGCAGGCCAGATTCAAGCTCATGAGCCTTCTGTTTCAGCCTTCCAGGTTGCTTAAATTATCTATGTCAGAACCAGGATTTGAACTCAGGCCTTCCATGAGGTCCCAGGTACAGTGTTTTAGCATTGTCTGCCATTGTGGCTGGGCTCTAGGTTCTGTTTTTTATGGACTTTGTCTTTGATCTTGCCTAATTGGATTCTGAGATAAAACTCAACCATTCCCTTGATCTTCTCAAAAATATATGGTCCTAAAACAGGAAAACAAAACAAAACAAAACAACTATGGTCAATTAAATAAGTTATTGGGTCACAGGAGAAGTCATGTCACAGTTTTCCAGGTAAAAAAGTTGTATTTTCATATTGGACATTTCTGGTTTTTAAGTTTTAAGTTTTTTTTATATTCTTCACTCCCTCATCCCCTAACTACCAAGGGGAGTTTCTCACTTTCTTTTGAGTTCGGCGAGCTCAAGGGCTTCTGCCATTTCCTTTTTCTTCACATCCCTTCCTGACTGTCCTAAGGGAGCTTGACATTTTTCTCTCCCTATTGTACCAATTAAGTTTTTCCTGACTCCAAGTAACACACTTGGATAGCTAAACCCATCAAGGATCCAACAAATCAGTAGTAATGATGAGTAACCCAAGCAAAGACAGATGAACAAACGAACAAACAAAACCCCTCTATTATTCACTTAGCAGATACTTGCTGCGTGGCTACTATGTGCCAAGCCCTGTTCTAGGCACTACCTATCTCTAGACAGAAATGAGCACACCTTTATCCTCTCAGGAGGAATTTGGCTTCAATCCACACAGCGGTCTAGCTGCTCTTGGACTAAGACTTTTCTTTAATTCTGACTCCAGTATTCTATAGTTCAATCTTTCATTACATGCTGGAAGACAGAATTGTCTCTGACCTGTGCAATCTACCCACTGTGGAAAAGTAGTCAACTAAGGAGAGACTGGGCTCTGGTCTTGATGTAGGGGTTCTCTCTCTGGAAGTTCCTAGGGTATCATAATAGACTTCGGATATACATAAGAGCTCATCAAATACGTGTCATGGCCCATCGAAGACTAAATTTGGTCCTCCAAGAGTCTTCTGGAATGGCCATGGCTGGTGACCCGGGGAGGTGGTGGAGGCTGTCTAGACTGCTCTGCTCGCCATGCCTGTTTGACATGGTTGAGTTCAGGTGGCAAACATAAATGTTTAAAGTGTGAGTTCTGGAATTGGACAAAGTGATGAACAGGACGTAAGAAGGCTGCTCTCACAGAGCTTACATTGTAATGAAGAAACACACACATATATAAATAAGAACATTTCAGGGACAAATTTCAGAGAGTGGTGAGCTCCAAAGGAAGAGAAATAATGTCATAGATACATGGAAGAGACTTCCTTAGATAGGATGGTCAAGGAAGGTTTTTTTTTTTTTATGATATTTGATTTTTAAGCTGAAAACGGACGAGTGATTCAGCTTCACTGATCAGTGATTAGAGCTAGCCACCAAAAAAGTGGAGTGGTATGGTGTGTGTGGGTTGTGTGTGGGTGGATTATAGGGGCAGTGTGACAGGTGAGAAAGAACTTTTTAGGTGGCAAAACCTCTAAGTGCGAAGGCTCTGGGTGGGAGAGATCTTGGTTTGTAGTTCTAGAACTTTCTAAAACCTAGCATAGTTAAATGGGTAAGAAGAGACTGGTATAAGAGAATGCTGCAGAGATAGACAGGTGCTAGCCCATGCAGGTCCTTAACACTATAAATGAGTATTTAAATGTCTTTCCTAACTGTATTTAGACTTGTTAAGAAAGAAAGTGGTTCAATATGGTCTGTACTGTGGAAAGATCACTGTGAGCATTTATACGGAGAAGGAGTTACATGGGCAACAGAAAACCCAGGGAGACTGGTTAGGAGACTTCTGCAATAGCACGGGCAGGAGATGATGATGGCAGCTTGGTCCAGGATACTAGTGGAAATGTAGAGAAAAGGATAAATTTCGGATGGATTTGGAAGAGGGAGGAGGAGAGTTGATAAGACTTACTGATGGACCAGATGTAGATAAGGGAAAAAGAGGAATTAGGAATGATACCCACATTTTAAACTGACTCCACTGAATACTTGGTGCTGCCATTTACTGTAATGGGTAAAAGTGGGGGAGGAACAGATTCTGATAGATATAAAACAAAAATCCTATTTTGGGCATGGTTAGTTAGAGAAGGTTATTAAATATCTAAGTGAAGCGGTATGTAACTTATTCAATACCCTTCCAGTCTTCTTGTAAGCCTTCCTATAGAGGTTAGAAAATGTAAACCATTAGTTCCCAGGTTCTCATACAACTAGAATTCCACACAAGATTTAGGTTCTGGCAAGCAGGAGCATTCACGAGCCCTTGGCATGCAAAAGTGAGCATGTCGGGACGGAGCCTGTAAGAAAAGAGACTGGATGTTCTGGGAGCACAACGTCAAAATTGCTCCAGGCAAGCAGCAGAGGAATCCTGCCAGGCTGCTCCCAAGGTATGGTTGGTTTTCCTGGAGGTATCATTTCTGGCTGTGTGGTATCTAGTCCTGATTCCTTGGCCTTTAAATAAATTCTGTAAGCTACCATCTATGGTTTGATCGGTCCCTCTAAAATCCAGATATTGTCCATAAAATGGTGTTGGGATATGGGTCTTTTGAGAGGTTATTAGGCCATGGGGGCTCCCAGCATAACCATGGCTATGCTGCTGGACTTCCATGTAATTGACTGCGGTTCGCGTCCCGGACCCGGTAGCTTAAACTCACGCCGGGCGCGTGTGCGTGCCCAGGATCCCAAGAGGAGAATGGAGGAGAAGGGATTGTGGCGTGGCCATCCCCCCTGGGGGGTGATTTCTCGCTTTCTATCTCTCTGTCTCTCTCTGTCTTTCTGGCGAGTGCACGCACCCTATAGCAAAAACCTCTCCAAACAACAACAAAAACAAAACAAACAAACAAACAAACAAAGGCCTTTTAGAGACTCTGAGATGGTCAGGAGTATCCAGTGAGGACACATCAGCATATTACAGCCTATTGGCTAAACTTTTGCAACATGTCATGGACAGAAAACATTCCTGTTTATTTTTAGAGTGGGTCAGTAAGTAGTGGCAGACCCTTCATCATCTTAATATGGGCTATAGCAGACTGTCTTGGTGTTTATTTGCACCCACAGCTCTCTACTGCAAGTAGCTACGACCCTGCCTCTGATTTCCCTTCTTTTCCACAGAAGCTTGCTCACGCAGGACTGGCTGGATGTAATGGGGTATTAGCAACCCTGAGAGCACCCCAAAAATGGTGATGGACTCAGGTCAGTAGGTAAATAACTTATCATCCTTGGATGGGGCAATTCTGAGGAAGATGTCTGTAGTGTCCCAGAGGATCCCCAGAGGATTAAGCACCGGTCGCCTACAGCAGTAACCTGCTTGTTGATGTACTCTGTAATGTTACCTTCACTTCCTGTCTTACTTCCATGTTCCGTATTGGTGCAACGCCCAAATGAATGTCTCATGCCCAAACTCTCATCTGAGGATCTGCTTTTGGAGAAACCCAAAGTAAAATAATGATTAACGTTTTTAAAACGTTTATTGATTTCTTGTGAGAGAGAGGGAGAGGGATAGAGGAAGAGAGGAAGAGGAAGAGAAAGAGAGAGAGAGAAAGAGGAGGAGAAAGAAAGAGAAAGAGAAAGAGAAAGAGAAAGAGAAAGAGAAGGAGAAGGAGAAGGAGATGGAGAAGGAGATGGAGTAGGAGACGGAGAA